AGAGTGAGACTCTGTCTCAAAAAAAAAAAACAAAAAAAACTCATGACAGGACAGAGTCCCTATCTGAGTTTAATTTTGTTCAGTAATTACTAAGAAATTACTGAGAATTAATGCTCTCATTTTAAGAATAATTTCTGTTGAAGATAACATCTTTCAATGGGCATAATATTCTTCTTAATTCCACTTGCCTAACAGATAGAGTGTCACAAAACTTCATAACTTTTATATTTATCTCATCTGTAGGCACCAAGAGTGTGTGAATAGAAGCTAACATCCCTGTCTTTATAAAGCTCATATTTCAGGAATGAAGACAAATATGAACATAAATACTTTTAAGATACAAGAGTCAAAGTTATGAGTGTGAAACAAAGAGAAAGTACTGAAGTCTAATCAAACAAAAGATTTTACTGAGATGGGGCTTGTAATGAATTTTGAGAGAAATTTTCTAGGTGCATTAAAGAAATGAGTGATGTAGTAAAAAGTTTGTGTATGGAGGGAGAGAAGATAGACATGATACCATCTAATACAAAGTCATAAATGCTATAACTCAGATATATACAACATTGGGTAGCTGTAAAGAGAGCTTGATTGAGTGATACTTGCTCTTAGATAATAGCTGTCATAGACTGGGTAACTAATACATGCCTGGATGTATGCTGGGCATACATCTGTAATTTCTGAGCCTCATAACACCACCGCAAGATGGATAATATTCTGCCTTACAAATAAGAAAACTGAAGAGTCAGAAAAGTTTAGTTAGCCCAGGTTAAAATGCCTGTAAGTAGCAGTCAGTAGTTGAACACAGGTCTACTTGATTCCAAAATCCATGTTTTTCCCACTAGGATTTGTTGCTTTGTTACCTGAAAGAATTGGGAAAAGTTTCAAAACAAAGATTTTAAACTAAATTTTGAAATGGTAAATATTCAAGAAATAATTGTTGACCTGCTATACATCAGACATTGTTTTAGTCACTGACAATGTAGCAGTGAATGAAAGAGGCTAGACCCTGGTTTCTTGGAGCTTACATTCTAGTTTTCAAGGGGTGCAGGTGGGTGAGAGGGCTTCAAACAGAGGCTCTACACATGAATGTTATGGAAGGATATGAAAATGCGTACACATGACAGAGCCTGGAATTCTGATTTTCTTTGGTAATGACTACTGGTTTCCTAATTCTCCCTCTGTATCTACTTACTCTAGACTACCTTCACCTCTAAATTAATGCCATTGCCCCATGGCTGGTCTTCTTGCCTTTTTTATTTTTCTTCAGTATACACAGCATTTTTTTTATATATCTTTGCTTCTTATTTTTTTGAGACAGAGTCTCACTCTGTCGCCTGGGCTAGAGTGCCATGGCATCAGCCTAGCTCACAGCAACCTCAAACTCCTGGGCTCAAGTGATCCTTCTGCCTC